CTAACAGGTTTTATAGAAAACAGTGCACTAGGTTTACATATCAATTCTCATTTAGTAGAAAGTAACGCTTGTTTTCACAATTGCGCTTCAAGCAACACATATCCAGTTACCTTGAAAATACTCTCATTTTGGCAGGCCACAGGGCTCTAAAGCACGCTGTGCATTCATTCGCAAAAAACATGTTTCCACGTGCACTCTCTTGCTCTTCGACTTTCCGAATCTTTTGGTCTTGGGCCTTTCTTCAGGAAAAGGTATTACAGAAACATAAAGAACTTATTTCTAATGGCGTCTGCGTATATGCTATTAATAACATCTACTATCAGAAATCACTTTTACTTAACTGTTAATACAAAAAAGGAATAATTTAAGTATTGCGGCTCTGTGTGGGCGCCACAGAAAAAATTGTTTCCCAGGCCTTTAGGTTCCATACAAAATTATTAAGCATTCAAGCGGGAAGAAAATATTGAATTGCCATTACCTTATCGATTAATAGCTTTGAACTAAGCCTCTTTTCAGCCACCTATATAACTCAAGACCATGAGATAAATTACGTAAAATAAGTTATTTGTTGTCGAATTTTGTTGTCTAATATATTTTATCGGAAGGATACACTAGGGGCACATATTATTCTCATTTTGTAGGAGGTTACGCTTGTTTTCACAATTGCACTTAAAGATACATATACCCAGTCACCTTGAAAATACTCTCATTTTTGGCAGGCCGCAGGGCTCTAAAGCACGCTATGCATTCACTGGCAAAAAAACATGGTTCCACCTATCTCTATGACTGGCTCCTCTCTCTGTTAGCAAGATGTGGCAGCCGTTCAAAAAAGGCTGCGCACTTCGAGAGCAGCAATAATACATTTTGCGGGGAGGAGACCACACTGATGATCACATGAGACACTCGAAAGGTTTTTTTAATCACACATTTTTCCTATTTGAAGTAAAAGGTTTCGAAAAGGCGTAGGTTTGCATAAACGTTGACCACGAATTGTGCGTGTGGTCTTCGTTTTGCAGATGAATTGCCTTCATTAGTAGAATTAGAACTCCGTGAAAAAGTAGCACTAACTAACTAATCAATTTTACCAGGTTGGAAAGACGCACATCTAAAAGCCGTGACTGAAATATCTCGGATTAGGCGGCACGCAAATCACATGCTCCCTTATAATCGAAAACGCGTTCAAGCATTTGGATTTGTGGTTCATGAAATTGAGATTTACTGTAGAAAGTTTGGAAACTTTGCGGTAGAAGCTCCTCCCGTTAAGGAGACCTAAGTTTCGACGTTCTTCCCTGAGACGGTTAAATGAACACACAGCTCACTGAACAACTGCGCGTTCAAACGTGCTTCTCCTATATATGTCTGGCTGGCTATGATCGTGACTTTAATAACGTTACATTGGCTAGGAAACGGTCGGAGGCGAAAATATGGTGGATACTTAGCCTTTGATGCTTAAAAAGCCTATCTTATTTTTACTCCTCTCGAAGTAAGCGTGTATTAAAATTAAAGAGAGCAGGGGCACGTCGACTTCATCAGTTGTTAATGTGTAATAGAGTGCATGAGGAGTCTATATAGTTTTGTTTTCTAGAGTTGAACAATTGTTCAGTCCAAATCTGTAAATGAATCTCCTG